CATTCCACAATATCAATTTTATGAGCATAGCAAAAGCAAAGTTACATTCACACCAAAGCCAGCCTGACTCGGTGGAGCCACCGCGTTTAAGCAGACGACGTGGCGAAGGCCTTACCTACTGGTGTCACTTGCGCGTCAGTTTAGCAAGCGCCCTTGAGAGGCACCCTGAGGAGCTCTGGCCGCACGGCTCGGTGTTCAAGGTGGAAGTGGACGCATTTGTACAACTGCATCTCGACGAATAATGCCTCGGAGTGAGAAATAAACAAACCTTTGTAGCTTACAACTCCATGGAAAGCCTACTTGGGTCCAGAGCCACAGGAAATGATGCTCGCCGTTTACATGGCGATGTATACACGTCGTGTGATGGAGTTATCTAAGCCCTATAGCTGATCGAGAATCCAAATCCTAGTGAGCAGAAGCAGCCATATTTTCCTCGACCCCAACTGCAATGAAACGTGACTTATGCATCCTGTGCGACTATGCTACGCAGGTTTGGAATTGCCAGCACCATAGGACCATTGTGAAGCAGGTGTTTTAGCCTTCATGTTCCTGCTGTATATATCTGCACAGATTTCACGCTCGCTTGTTTTCTTACCATTGATGCACACGACTTAGCTCGCACGAAACAGGCGGAGTTAAGACGCCGCTGATGCTATCGCACTTTTCTGGACAATAGGTGGCCTTCAGACAGATATTTGAAGTTTTCCTCATATCAAGAAAAATGTTGAGGAGTGTTCGGACATGAACAAAAGGCGCCTCTTTCACATCGCCCTGCATCGAAGGCTTATGTCTTCGCTACTTGTGAACCAATGGATGCTTATAGGTTGTGAACATTTGTTAATTGTATAAGAGTGCGTCTTACGAGCGATGTAAAATAAACGTTAAAACCAGAACTCTTGCTTTGAAGACTTTGTCGAAATGTTTTACAGGGATAAACGAACAGTTCCTTGTGGCACAAATAGTGATGGGAATTCGAACAGTTCATGTGTCTAGATCATTGCGACTTCGCAAATGTCTCTTACCAGTCAAGCGTTTCTACGACTTGTGCGTGGTCTGTGCGATGAGCATCACTAAAGCTCCACGGAAGCTAGTCATGGAGGCCGCAATCCAAGATGATGAAGAGTGCTGCAAGAAATATGAGATCATTGTGCTGATGCCACGAACAAAGAAAGCTTGAGGGAACATCCGAACAACACCTTGGTCGGCTGTCAATGTGCCCCTAGGGGCATGATTAAGACAGTTCCCAAAGAAGATGCTGCTTATACTTTTTACTGCATAGCTGTTACGCTTGAAGTTCTCCGTGTGTCGTAGGTAGCAAATTACCGCCATTAGAATCCGGCGTACGCTATACTTGTCTTCGTCCACTTTTAGGGGGGAAGCTTCTTAAGGTATGGGTCGTGCGTCTCCTGTATGTAGTATCCAACTCTAAATTTAGCCGTTGGAATGTCCACTCCATAGTCGTACTTGTATATGAGGAATATAGGTTGAAACGATGCGAGATTGCGGTACTTAAAGTATTCGCTTAATGGACGAACGGATGGACACACATACAGACAGACGGACATGCGGACATAGGTACATACATACATACATACATACATACATACATACATACATACATACATACATACATACATACATACATACTTACATACACACACACACACATACATACATACATACATACATACATACATACATACAGTCGGATGAACGGATAAATGACGTATGCACGGATGGACGCAGCGAGCGGATAATTTCCGGTTTTCCCAAAAAACCCTTGAAAGCTTCGCCCCACTAATCGTCATTCACTCCGTGGATCTTTTCACTCCACGGTTAGAACACGCGGGTCGACTTGTCCACCGCAGGACGCAGCGAATATAATGCGCCAGAGAAGGAGTCATCATCATCATCATCATCATCATCAGCTTGACTACGTCCACTGCAAGACAAAGGCCTCTCCCATGTTCCGCCAGTTAACCCAGTCCTGTGCTTGCTGCTGCCAATTTATACCCACAAACTTCTTAATCTCATCTGCCCACCTAACCTTCTGTCTCCCCCTAACCCGCTTCCCTTCTCTGGGAATCCAGTTAGTTCCCCTAATGACCAGCGGTTATCCTGTCTACGCGCTACATGCCCGGCCCATGTCCATTTCCTCTTCTTTATTTCAATTATGATATCCTTAACCCCCGTTTGTCCTGTTATCCACTCTGCTCTCTTCTTGTATAAGAACTAGCAGTAACCCAGATGACACCCCACCAGTATTGATAGAAGAAGTCAGAAAAGCTTTGGAGAGCATGCAAAGAGGCAAAGCTGCTGGTGAGGATCAGGTAACATCAGATCTGCTGAAAGATGGAGGACAGATTGTGTTAGAAAAAGTAGCCAGCCTGTTTACGAGGTGTCTCCTGACGGGAAGAGTACCAGAGTCTTGGAAGAATGCTAACATCATCTTAATACATAAGAAAGGAGATGACAAGTACTTGAAGAATTACAGGTCGATCAGCTTGCTCTCTGTAGTATACAAGCTATTCACAAAGGTAATTGCTAACAGAGTAAAGAAAACATTACGATTCAATCAACCAAAGGAACAAGCAGGATTTCGAACAGGCTACTCAATAATTGACCACATTCATACTATCAATCAAGTAATAGAGAAATGCTCAGAGTATAACCAACCACTATACATAGCCTTCATAGATTACGAGAAGGCGTTTGATTCAGTAGAAAAAAAGAGAAGGGGTAGTGAGTGAGAAAATATTGCAATAGAGAGTGAGAGTGAAAGAAAAAAAAATAAATAAAAATGAGTAACAAACTGCTTGGGGCTAAACTTTTTTTATTTTATAACCCGCGTACTCAATAATTGAAGGTGAGCGTACTAACCAGCGGACTGTAGAGGCACACTGGCAAAGGTGGGCATAACCTTGTGTAGAGTAGTATATCAAAAACATTGCAAAAAAAAACTAGGGTCTCTAGTTGTTCATTTTTCATCAAAAGGAGAGTATTACATGTATCTGAGGCGCAATAATGAGATGTCTATATTTGGCTATGTGTTTCTTTATACTGCGAAATGCAAATGTACGTAAATATAAAGGGCGCGCTTTTCTTTACGCACCACGACACTATGCACAAAAAAGGCGAGTGTTTCCTAATACGCTTTGCTCAGATACTACGCTTTGCTCAGAGAGGCTACTGCCAGATGGTCCTCATGTCTCACGCAGCACTACGAGGAACCAATTTACAGATCTTTTAGCGCAGAACATCAAATGAAACTTATTATATCTCTCCAGACAGAAGACTGTGGCCTGTCGACGACATTTTCAGTAAAACAAGCAGACACGCGGTCAATTTTTTGTTCCGTGTTGTTTGAAAGTTGTGAGAAAAAAAAAGACCTGGTGAAAAAGTGTGGTCATTAATAAGTTTTTTTTTTCCCCTTAAAGTGATGTCCTGCACAAAAGTATGCGAAAATCAATCCCATGCTGCAGCGTTCAAGAGTGAGCTTGCTCCAGAGACGTATTTGAAAGCAAACGACCAGGCTTACTCGAGAAGCATACTTCAGGTGAGTGTTAACCTACACATGCACGTCAAGAGGCAGAGAAGCGTCGGAAGCGAGTGTAAATAGGCGACGTGGGCGAGGTTGGACTTGGTGTTCTTGGTAGTATGCATACTGTGTCCAGAGTATTTTCTCCCAGGTACCTTGCTTGTAGGATGATGGTGTTGAATAGCCTGAATAATTCGAATAGCTCAATAATTCTACCGGTGGCAGGGGGTGAATTTAGAGACCACCGTGTTCTCAGAAAATTGTCTATCACTTTATTTTCATGCTGTCACCCTTTTCAGAAAAAGTGCTCGTAGCGAAAGCTTGTCATATGCATCTTGCATTGAGAGCACAAAAGTATTGGTGTAAAATGTTTCTAAATGGATGTAAGGGCATTTAACCGCTCATTTTTTGCAGCCAATAACCAAACATTATCATCACATTGACGCCATAAAGAAGTGCAAGTTTCCCAAGTTGACACATTGAATAAAATGCGGGAACAATTCACGCGTCAATCCACTTTCTAAAGATGCAGCACCATCGAAGCTGCACAAAACGTAGCATATATGTAAGCAAACAATTTGGTTCCAACGTATCGAAAGAAAATGTTCTTGAAATCTATTGAAATAAACAGCAGGTCTGTTTTCCACCAAGCGTTCACGTGCTTATTCAAATTTCTAAAACCAGTGAAGGTACACTCTGAAATCAATGCAATGGGCTGGAAAAATAAAACGAATGCCTTGAAAGCTTACAGACAAAACTGAAATGCTCATTGCTATCGTGAAGAAGGGATTGTCATTAGCATGCAACGGGTCTGTCTTGTGATGATCAACATGTCCTGTTGACCAACGGAAGGCAGACCCGGTGACTGTTCACGACACGTAGTGTCGCAGATCCCCTTTTGATTGGTGGTACATGTCTGGTCTGGAAGATTTCTATAAAAGAACCACAATCCCTAAGTAGAATATGAACAGCAGCAACATTATGGGTTGTTGAAATTCTCTGTGTCATAGATAAGAATAATATAACGTGCACGCTCCTTTAGATTTCAAATACTTTTACTCGACTCTTCTTATATACAAGATATCAGAGATGCACCCCAAAGACTTATTTTGCAGTTGGCGTTGTCATAAAGTTAAGCGAAAATTTCAACCGCTTATGTCAAATCGTGCTTTTTACGTGGTTCCCTGTGATATGGAAGAGAAACATTCTGGAGCGCACCTGCCCTTTTTCGAACGCGATCATGTAGGATATGGATACGTGCCTTTGCAGGCGAAGGACTGGAGGGCAAGACGTGCGGTGTTTAGGCTCTTTCTACTGAAACATTTCTCCCCTGTTCTAGTCTTACGACCCGGGGCAGTCTGACCATTCCTCACAGCTAACAGTGATCAGGGAGGTACGTGCCACGGCGATGCAACAACGTTTACACTTCGATATATTAGAGTTCAATCCTGCTGCAGGTATTCAACATGGCTTTTTCCACTCCGAGCAATGAGAGCCAGCAATTCCTGGACATCGGCTGTGGCACGGGAGACTTCACACTAGAATGCATTTTGCCCACATGCAATCCACGTAGGAGGCAGGCTGTGCACTGCATACCACGCTATTTACCAAATGCCACAGCACACCCGCTTCATGTTATCTTTTCTTATGAGTGTTTTGCCATATCAGGAAGTACTTTAGGAACGTGTGTGGTTCACTATGCTAGTACTATATATTTGAACACCGTTAAGCGTAAATCATTCGCACAATAGCATAAAATTACGCAAATCGGTGTTGATTCTACCTTACTATCTATCGGGGAAAATATACATGTCATATAAAAAGAAAAACAGATGGAGGATGACGCACACAGTAGTTTTTTGAAGAAATACATTCATTTATCAGTAAACTCTATCAACAGCTCCTTCAAGAGAGCCATCTTCTCGGTCAACAAAGATCGTTAGAGTGTTGCGTTGCATTTAGGTTGTCTCGACAACCTGTCACCTGCGTTTATCAGTGTCATCAAGAGCTACCGGGAAGTGTAGCAATACTTCCCAATGACACTGCGGCAATCAATAGACTAATTTTTATTACTACTACTTTCCTACTTGTTACCATGTTCACGAAGTGTACGGTTAAGATCGTTCTTCTCATTCGAGAGACTAGCAATGATAACAAAATTGTTTTTTTTTTACAAAAAAAATTTGTAAGCTTCCATACCTCTTTTCACAATGGCAACGTAGCCTCTCTTCTTTCCATTCACTACTTGTTTGTTTCGCATTCTTTGTCAGATCGTCCCAATGAGTTTGATGTAGGCTCATGCAGACTTATTGCAAGGCGCTGCACCCATGCACAGTAGCCCCGACCTAACGGGCACTGCATTTTCATCAATGTTTTGAGTATACACATTTGCAAGAAATAACTAGTAGAGAGTGCACACTGTTCATATGCATTTAAATTGCAATATGACGCAATGCATAATTTTGGTCCTTTAATTCACCAGTCGTCTAGAATATGCAAAATCCGGAAGAAGAGAAAAAGAAACACTATTACAGTATCATGTATATGAGCATGTACAACCACAGTTTGACAGGAGACAGTGAGCTGCTGTTACACACGAATGCTTCTTTAAATAGCGGTTCATTAATGCACAGAATGTTTCCAAGCACACGGCAAAGGTTACATTACAATTTCACGTGCTTTAAAAAACAAAGAACATAACCAATTAATTATCAACGTTCACACTATGACCCACCTTCTATAGTTTTACAAAATTACACACTTTCTCTAAAGACTCAAATCAATGAAACGATGTGTTACTGCAGATATTTCTAGACGAACGAAAATCCTCTGCCTTCATTTAGGTAAGTTTTAGTGCTACACATGTGCTACTGATAAGTTACGCCATCCTTATTATTCTAACACCGTAACTATATTCACACTGTGCTGAAGCACGGTTGGAGTTTAATAGGGTTGTTATTTCTGCAGGATTGTGGTAATCGATTACTCGGAAAGCATGCTCAAGCACGCCAGGGAGAATCATTCAAGCGAGAATATTTTATACGAATACCTGGATATTAACAACGACGTTGTGGGCTTCTTGAAAAAGAACGGTACATTCCAGCGGGTGTACTCCTTCAAGACTCTGCAGTGGTCACAAGACCTGCGCTGTGCTTTGAGCAATATCGCTGATCTGCTCTTGCCTGGTGGCGAGTGTCTCCTGTACTTCTTCGCTAGGAACTTCTTAAAGGAATCCTTCAAGCACTTGAGCCGTATGAAGCGTTGGTCCAAATATGTCGATGTAAGTGCTTGATGCATGATTGTTGCAACATTACCGACTTATGTTTGTCACTGCAAACCAGCAACGTGCACTGGAAACAGGGCGCTATCTAGCTCTCGTTGTCAAGACTAATTCGTCGACATCGGTCGACACGATTACTACAAGGATAATGTTCGTGATATTAGAACAGACAAGAAAAGGCACTATGTGATTGATTGTCGCATGAAGTACATGAGCTATTACAAATGTCCACACAATAAACACTTTTCCGTCTCGATAGTAAATACATTAACATAAAAAATGTTATAACGTCTTCCCACTGTTCCAAGTTTCCCTCTCTACGCCAAGCCTAATGGCGCTGCTGTCGCACGAAAAAGTTGAGCCGCGTGGTGCCTATAGGCTTTTAATGCAACTGACAGTGGCGCCACAACTTTCATTGTAACTGGGAATATCTACGGCGCGTTTTCTTTTGTCTTAACACTACCGCCTCCACTTGCAAGCACGCGCAAGTCTCGCGGTTTTCGTCTGTAAGGCGTCACTATGTAACCATTCTTCACTGGCAGTGCTCCGGCACAAAGGAATAGCGCATTGGCGCAAGAGTCTTTGCGCCACAGCTGTAAAATCTAGCGTAAAGCGGCCTTCGCCTACAGCGTCTGGCTTCATTAACACACAGATTGGCCGCGCGAGCTTCACGCCCAAATTCGAGCTGTCATTCGCTGCCCGAATGCGATAGACTTCTATACCATGCCATGCGTGAGTGAGATTGCGCGAAATGGTGAGTGGGGTAGGGAGCCGGCTGTGTGTGCTTGCGTAATGAAGATTGCAGGACGCAGCAGGGCAATACTGCACGGAGAAATATTCCCTATGACTGGCAGAGATAGCATGAAGGTATTTGCACGTGAAGAGCATTTGGCCTCAAGTCATACTGAGTGAGGTATGATTGTATCTGTGATACCACTTGAGGTACCACCTGCTAACACAAACGCATTACCCCACAAAGTGTAATAACGATAGAAAATCAGATTTATTGACCCATTTATACATATAATGAAGAGGCGGAACATAATTTTGAATGAAGATACGAATTGATATAGTGCGTTATAGGGTGGCGACCATAACGAAAATCACGAACGTATTTTAAAGGAAAGAGTGTTTAAAAAATTTTTTGGCGAAAATTCTGCTGTCAATGACGATATTGATGTCGGCGTCATAACTTGAGAGGAAATAGTCATCAACTTGTAGGTAACCAAAGCATAGAAAAAAGCGAATAAAATAAACAATAAATTTTTTCAGCTCAAGGTGCAATTTAATTGAGGCCATCACAGTAGCAAGGTGTGCAAATTGACAGCTATGCTATTGCTTGAACCTGCTTCGGCAGTAAAACACACACAGTGTCTCATATTGAAACGAGTCATCCTAAAGCATCGTATATTGAGTGGCTAAAGCATAAACTCACGTCCAATGTCAACTATTTTGAATCGGAAATCGAATGGTCATCTCAAAGGCCTGCCTATTGAAAACGTTCAGACGTATTCATTCATTTTCAGCTTCAAAAGCATCAACACAGTTAGCAGCTGCGTAGGTTCGCTGGCTGCCTTACGGGCAGGTAGTGTGTACTTCGATAGTTCACGGTGGGAATAATTATGCCATTATAGACAATTAACAGCGGTACTTATTATTCGCGTTCTGGGTTGGTTTAAAACTGTAATTGTTACGCGTAAAGTCACTCGTACTCTTACGTCAAGGTTGCGGCATGCTTTTTGGACACAAGATGGACTAGCAATTCACAAGGTGGTGTGCACTGGGCTCGATTACGGTATCGTGTCCTTTCTATTCTCTAAGGAAAACCTGACGTGTACTCAGTTTTTCTCGATGACGTATGAGGGCCTATTTGTTGAATTGGCGGCTCAATAGTTTTTGGCTGTTATGATCATGACAATTTTTGTGAGGTCACTTCGAATAAACTGGCTTTTTTCACATTTTGGACACTTTCTTAGCCAGATACATATTTTTTTACTCTTTGGTATCAGGTATCTCTCATTTTGTGTAGCAGTATACTGATTCGTGAAGACACGGGATAGTTTCGCCGAATCATTGTCAAAAACCTTTCATGCAGAAATTACGACATGTACTCTTTCTCACACGCATCAGGGCTCATACAGGCCACGTCGGCGAAATCGGCGAACACATTCTGAGAAGGCTAAGGTGAAGAAGGCATAGGCTTTCTTGGCCAATCTCCTAAAGTGAAAATGTGCCATATTATAAAGGAATCGAATCAAATTCAGCATGTTCCAGTTGTATGGTCATATAGAACCTTCTTGTTCTGTTTTCTTCTGTTTTAACTGTTTTGCTGTGGAGAGATCGAGGTGCATATTGCCTCGGCTACTCCATATCACGAAGTTCTGCAGCGAAAAAAAAAAGAATAATACAGACCGATACCCAAAAGTAAACAATACGAACAAAATGAAAAAAAAACATATTAGCACACTGAAACCATGTTTCAGTGTGCTATTATGTTTCCAACAGACAATTAACTGCTAGCTCATACAGCAGTCGTTTACGCAGAATTGCAGCTGCATTTCCGATGGAGGCGCAAATGTTCTAGGCCCGTGTGCTCAGATTTGAGTGCACGTTAAAGGACCCCAGGAGGTCAAAATTTCCGGAGCCCTCCACTACAACGTTTCTTATAATCGTTTGGTGATTTTGGGACGTTAAACCACACATATCAATCAATCAATCAATGGTTTACGCAGAATTAGAATAAAAAGATTCATTCTTGGCGCATGATCACAAATTACTTACAGATCAAGCGCCGACCTACAAGATACGCGAGATATGCGCAATAAACTTATGCGAAGCATTGCGGGCGTGCACAATATAGTTGAAAACTGGCAAACGCGTTTCCAAACAAACAAAACAAAACAATACTCGCAGGAAGCGAAGTGAGTGGTAATTGGTAGAGCTCTGACATTCGGAAGAGGAAACAGCAAAGCAAAATTAATAAATATTGGCCTGTATTTGCATTTTACACTGAAATGTGGTCGAAAAACGATAATCTTCTGTATGAAAAGAGCTACCAAAACGTTTATTTGATGTTCTGCGCAAGAAAACCGGTGAATGGTATTCTGGAGGCGCAGCGTTAGAGTGCTTCGAGCATGTAGTGGAGATGAACGATCGAATCGAGGCACGTTAGACATGAGCGCCATCTGGCAGTTATCTTTGAAAACGAAGGCGTGTGCGCCCGCGGAGAAAAATGCGCGCCAGCCTCGGATCTGATAAGGTGTAGAACGCAAAGTGGTGGGCAGGTGCCACCACAGTGTCGTCATAGCAAAGCGTTGGAAACGCTTATCTTTTTGAGCATCGCATTACACCGTTAGCGCAACGCGATAAACGCTACAGTCCTTAGAGTTACCTGTGTAAGCCTCTGCTATTACAAAGGCAGACATACAAAACATCGACGTGTTGTTATGGCACGTCAGATATGCGCAATAATTGTTTTTTAATTGACAATCGCACAACTATGAACGCTAACATTCGAGCAATTTTGGTGGGCGCTGTCGATGGGGTTGGCCGTTGAGTGCCGTTTGAGATATCAATAGGAGCGGACAAACAGAAAAATACACAGACAGACAGACAGACAGACCAAATTTCTTTTTTGTCGAAGGTGCCCAAGAAAGACTATTGTCTTTAAAAATGAACAGGAACGAGTTGTGTGTGACAGACTTCTGCAGCGCCCGTGCATTCTATTCGTGCCGCCGTTCACCGCACCTGGTGCCAGTATAGTACAAATGAAATTGGGAGCGCACGAGGTAGACTGTGTATTTCCTTTTTTTTTCTTACTTTTATTTTTCAAGCGCCAGCATGGCAATGCGTTTGCTTATTATTGCATTTCTGGTTACGCCAGCCCCATGAAAGCCAGCATCAACCTTAAGGGAATGAGATAATTTCATAGTTATCGCATGCTCAGGACACCACATTAGTTATTTCTGCGGTTTTCAATATTCTCTGCCTAATTAAAAAAACAAACGCATAAAGCATAAAGCATAAAGCAAGGGTGTACATTGTAGTACAATTGGTTTTCTTGCAGAAATTTTAAATGGGAATTGGACATTTTTAAGGTGGAGAGCAGTTCAAAGGCCACTGTCGTATGCTGTAATCCTATGCTGTCGTACTTTGACACAAGACCGACCAAACACGAAATAGCATAGCCGTCTGTATCCTAACGAGCACGTGCTCATGCCAAGGAGTAGTCTGTTTCTCTTGTTCATCGAGTATGTGGAGTTTCCTATGTACGGTGCACATTAAGGGCCCATGCTGCCATATGCTGTCCTCGTTTGGCGTAACGCAGGCAAAAGCACGTACAGAAACGAAAAAAAAACACAACAGTCAAGAAAAGAAAACAACAAAACTATTGAGAAGAAAACTAAAAATTGTATTAAGTTTGCTTGCTTTAACCTATTCTATTGTATACTTTGTACCATGTACGCCACAAACACAGAGAATATGAATTAGCGCAAATGGTAAGCAATGAATGCGAAAGCAATCAACTGCAATAATATACAGAGTAACGCCGGCAGTTTACTCTTTAGGATGGGTTATCTCGTAACCACAGAAAGCGTTAGCGTTCCAGAATACAGCGGCTCAAATGAGTGTAAGTCCTCTTAGACCGTCTTCTAGCACTGAGCACAGAGCACGTGCTCTGTGCTCAGTGCGAGAAGACTGTCTAAGAGCCTATAAGAGGCGACCGCTGAGGACTACTGAGATAGCACGCAGGCTAGTGATCGCGACAGGCCCTTGAAAACAAAATTAGCAGGTGCAGTTCGAGCACGACCACACCCCTACCAGCGTCATCTCATGCTCGTCAAAGACGGGCCTGCCACTTCCAACTTGCTTGTATTGGACAACTGGTATAACACGCTGGGAATCTTATTGCATACACCCTACGAGTGATTTAGATGAACCGGCTCTTTTCATTTCTGCTGCAGCCGTTTTCAACTCCCGTTCGCACCCGTTTTCCCGCGGGTGAAGCATACAATGCACTGCGGCATCCTATGAACTTGAACTTGTTACGAAACATGACGACGATGGTGACTTCGACGGTAGAAACCTTCGAAAGAGCACACTGTGATGAATGACCGCAGCAACATCGGGGCTCCAGCGTATGAGAAGCTAGATGGGGGAAGAGCGCAAAAGCGACGATATAGATAAAGAACAGCTGGCCCAGAATAGAGTGCTGTTTCAGTGTCTGAATTCTTTACAGCACCTATTCGCTATCACCATAAAACTAACCCTAACAAGAAACACCAAGCTACTTCAATGGTTTGTAGTTGAATGAATCTAACCATTGTGTTTCTCAGGTGCTTCTAGGAGGCATACCACAGAGTCACGACATAATCGACCCAAAGGGGCAGCATGGGTACCTGTCTGCAGCCCTCTCCTCGGCAGGCCTCATTCCTTACACCGCCGAAGTGCTAGTCAGTCCCCATATAGCAGGAATACCAGGTGCTTCTTATGAAGGTGAGATTGCTTTTTTAGGGGTGAAGCTCCTTAGGGCGTGGGCTGTACGTCCCCTGTAGCCTGTATGTAGCCACCTCTAGTTTAGTTCTTGCAGTGTTCACTAGACGGCGGTACCGTCCCCTGTATGTAGCCACCTCTAGTTTAGTTCTTGCAGTGTTTACTAGATGGTGGTACTTGTAGCTGATGATGAAAAGATGCAAGATGTTATAAACTAGAAAGCGGTACTTGTAGTTGATGAAAGACGCGAGATCTTATAAAATAGGAATGATGTCACATATGGCGCGTGTCATTGGTTGAAGGCAATCGTTCGATTTAGTGCGGCGACGTACGCTAGGGGGAGCGTTGTACTAAAATCCGTTCGCTGTTGGCGCGCGCTCGGAGTCGCCGGATGGATAACGCTGCACAGCGAAGAGAGCGCAAGGCGGCAGCAGCGCGCGCTCACAGACAGAATCCCGATGTGCGAGCGCGCGAGGCAAGGGACATCGCAAGTCATCCATCGTCTAAGAACAAATAAAAGTAAGTTGATTTGTGTATATACACACACAGCGTTTCTCACGTCTTTACATGATGATCGACTGGGCGAATTATATGGAAGATTCACAGTTTACCGATGAATCCCTTCGGAGCTTCGCCCATTCATCATCATTCACCCCGTGAATATGCCGTAATTTTTTTCTTATTCGCGAAATAACGCTGAAAGCTGTGGCCACCTCATATATAATGGAAATTCGAACTGGCCAAAACAAAATCACCAGTGTTAACCTTATGGAGTGCCATGAAATGAGGTTACTATTTATCATTTACAAATGAAGTACTGCGTCTTTAAAACTTACCTTGCAGTGTTTATAAGTTAGCTTCAATACAAAAAGATGAATTGCGTTTCGAAATTTCATAACGTTTTTGTAATACCAGTGAACAAATAGGGAAAACAAAACGACTGGCACAAGCCTCGACTTTTGACTCGGTTTAACATTACGAAGAATAGCACTTTTACACGTGTACAGTCTGTTTCACAGATCAGAATAGTCTCGGAACGCAGAAATTGTGGAGCGGCCAGCGCTGCAAACACGCATTGTCAGCATCCGGCGCACGCACAGATACTTCAATGTCCTTACTCTTGAATCCTATCATCTGCTAACGTGGAATACGAGTGCAGCGCTGGTTGCACCACGTTTATGCGATCCGATATTTTCCGTAAGTGTGAAACAGGATGTGCATACGTGACTCAGCTTAATGTACAACTTCCTACACTACATACATGTATACCAACAGGAAAACAGACCATTTGAGTATATTTGTTTAGGTCGTTCAAGTAAACTATGCAAATTCAGTTGGAGTTATTTCGATTTCCCGTTCGCTTAGGAGCTACGAGTAAAACTTTATGAGCGAATTGCATCTAGACAACAAATATAAATGACACAATCCTTTAGGCATATTTCAATATTGAAGGTAGAACAATAGGTCGCTGTGGAGAATACGATTACGCGAATACTCTGAACATAATGCATCAATGAAATGGGCGACATAAATTTCTCTCAATTTGACATACATGTCACATACATATATGAATGAAGAGAGAAACTTGATCTTTGATCTCAGGAACGGTTGTTTATTTGTAAGCGAAGATAAAGAGGGCATTTTTAAAACCACTTGTTCCACCCATCTGCCCCATTTTCAAATTGTTTACGCAGGATTTTTTGAGATAGCAAACCTAAGCTACTCACCCCTAAGTGAAAATGAGAAGTCCGACTTCCTGGAAACGCTGTCGACCCACCTACCCGACTGGCAAAACCTGTACCGCAAGAAAAGTGGCCCAGTAATGTGGTCTGCGTTCCTTGTCCACGCGAGAAAGCCCGAGACGTCCTGACATCTGCAATAAAATAAAAGGCGACGCTTTCATATAGACCCATGTAGTACTGTTTTGTGCAAGTTAGAATAATTGTTCTGCATCGACTAATTGTGCAGTCTCCTAACAACATCTGCTCAATTTTTGGAAATAATGTAATATTGAAATTTTTGATGACTATCATTCCAGTACACGGTTTATCAATAAACATGCTTTTTTGTTCTTTCAAGGGCAAAAGAAAACACACGAAAATTTTAGAACTGCTGTTGTGGTTGTAGTACACAGGCAACAATTTGAAAGTCTTCGTCTTTTGCGGCCTAAAAAATTCAGACATCGACAATAAATGTGTAGAACTTTCCGAGAAATGCCTTTAATAAATTGGTTGATATTTATTGATTATTTAGGTTTTTGATAATTCCACCAATAATGGTTAACGCACATAGAGTGACCCAAATTAAACGAACTTCTTCTACATGTGATGGAAAATGAAGTAACGTAGGTTGAGTGCTTCATTGTGACATCAAAGGCTTTTCGAATATTGGTACTTGTATCACTAATCACCTATTAATCAATATGTTTTAGCATGAACACTCACACATATCCCAAAGAGAACCTGTTTAAATGTGATGCTAATATTATCTTTGAATATAAACATTACCACAAGAGGGCGTTGATAGTAAGTATCATCCTAAAGCTGTATTTTATTAAAGTCAGCGCTTTTGCATAATGGTGTTCTATGGAAACCTTCACTGCTGGGCTGTATTCAAGATGATGACAATGTGTTGTGCTGTATGGTGCAAGAGCCAATTCGTTGTCAAAAGGCGCCCTTTTGGTAGACAAGAGATGTGAACAATGAAATGGTACGTGGCTGTAGAACGGCCTTCAAATTCGTCGCGGGAACAAGGGCAAAAACATAGAAGTAATAAAATCATAATGGTGGCACTGTATATGTGCAAGTGAGAGTGAATGGCGAAAGGTCGTGATCATAAAACCATGATGAAGGTGTAGCCACCGTAGCCCCAACCTCGGTACAGACGTCGTGCTACGGATAGCTTCGCAATAGACAGTGAAAGGTATATACATCATTTAACAACGTAAACAGTGATTGATGTTGAAGTTGGGATCCTTATCAATGAGCGTGACAGGATGTAGTGGGAGCCGCCGTTGGTAGGGTAATAAAAAGTGCTCCTTTCTTGGAGCATCTAACTCATTGCACTGGACGAGGATGTGGAAAACTCTAAGTGGTTTTCCACATCTCTCACACAGTGGCGGATCACCGGCCGTCACAAGGTATGAATGTGTAGAGTATGTAAGTCATGCTCTTAGCCTTTTAGGTGTTACTTCTCTCTGTCGTGATTTCGATAAAGGTGGGCAATGAACGACTTGCGGCTTAATAACATGTAGTTTATTATCTGTGTGTCTATGCCACGTGTCCTCGCAATTGTCTCTGAAGTTTCGTTTTATAAAAGATTTCATGTCAAGTGCAGGCATTGGTAGGGATGCAAGTGGAGGTGTCGTTGGCGGATGCAGCCAGGTGGTCCGCGAAAATGTTTACGCGTATTTCCTGGTGCCGTGGCAGGCAGCAGACTACAACAAGCACTTGGGATGAGTAGATTGTGCATATGCGTAAACAAAGGAAGACAAGAACAGGGTTTAGGTTTGTTTAAAGAGTTTTCAGGGCTTTAACCACACCCAGAAAATTTGTGTAAATTATTGCCGTTCATAGTTTTATATATCCAGTGGCATGAGCATGGACAAGTATTGCATGGGCTTCTTTTATGGAAATGCTTGCATCAGGATGCAGGAAACTGGCATCTGAAAAGAATGGGCCGATTGCTACGTATGAGACAGAAGTGTTAAACTTTGAGACATTAGTAAAGAACCCAGGTGTCACAAAACGAGCGCTCGAAAAAGGGCGCGCCACCAAATTCTCGCGACGAAGCTCCATAGAGACCCCTCGAGGTCAACGATAAAAAACAGAAAACAAGCATCCAAAGACTCCCCGGGCTCGCGTTCCTCTCCCCTCGGAAGCGCAGGTTCGCCTACGAACCTCCTCACGTTGCGGCCGAGCAAGCCCTGGAAATTTCTCGATGGAAAGGAGCGTGGTGATGCCGGGTTGCGTTATCCGTGGCGGACGGCCGTCGAACGGTCTCGCGCTCTCCCCCAGCCTTCGCTGCGCATCGCGCCGACGAAATGATGAGAATTTTCTGGAATCTCGCGCGGAAGGCATTTCACCGAGCAGCAGAGATGGGAGATCAGGAGAAGAAGGAAGTTAGCGCCAGTGTGCGTAGGGTTATTCCGCCACATCGGTCGGTGAAGGTTTTGTCCTTAGTGACAAAGCAGGAGAAGAAAATATGCGCCAGAGTGCGTAGGGTGATCCGCCTTGTGAGCGAAGCCTTTTGTCTTCCGTGACAAAGGAGGAGAAGAAGAGGATTTCCACCTGAGAGGTGAAGACTCGAGCTACAGGCAAGAGTGTGTGTCTACCGCTATCGAGCGAAGACGCGTGGCAACAGCTGCGTGTGTGAAGCCAACGTGTTTTCGTCGAAGACGTTTGTAGCCTGGAAAGCGGTCAATTGAAGACGCAAGGTTTCCTGGAAGAGAAGCTTCGGGGGCAGCAGAACGACAACAACGCTGGACTTTGAGTGAGTGATTCTCGGATGAGTATCATCCAGACTTTTTGTTCCAGGAACTTTGGACTGAATAAGTTTTCTAACTCTTTAGTCTTTAAGTGTCTTGTTTGTTCGATGCATGCGACTGCATTGTAGTGCGTATTGTTGTCTGTGTCCGTTGTTTCGAGTGTGGCTGATTGTACTGTGTAGTACATTGTTTGATTGGTGACAAATTGTATTCGACTATTGTCGAGTGTGCATACTTGTGTATCGTTTTGATCTGCCATATTATAGGTTATAATTTTGTTTTGTTTATCAACTCTCGGCTCTGTCTTGTTCTTTGGGCCACGGCTGGCATCCGCTGGTGCGCCAAATAGGACCACTTCTAATTGTCCACGCTTTCGGGTGTGGTTCGGGGGGCCGATACGTCGGCCCTTGAAATTAGCCCAGCGATCGCCTCCATAATTAACGGGACTCGTGACAATTATTCTGGCGTCCGCGACAAGGACCTTTTTGGTGCACAGTGTGTCCAAAGTAGTGAGAAAGAGCCTCGAGTTGTTGATACTGCTATCGGAACGATTTTGCGTGTTGCTCAGTGTTCTCGTTAACGAGTGCAGGGGAGTGTTCCGATAGACTGATTTAGGCAGATACTTTTTGCACGCGGCAAGACTTCATTTGCGACACACAATGGATCTCTAAAAGTTAGTAGCTCTTGGTGAGAAGATGGGTCTTTCTGGCACCGAACTACGGAAGTGGGTAGGCCAGAAAGAGAAAGAGGCGGTGGAGAGAGAGAGGTTGGCAGCTGAGAGGTCCAATGAAGACAAAAGCAGCGGAGTTGGAGAGCGGGAGATTGGCAGCTGAGAGAGCCAAGGAAGAAAAAGCAGCTGAGTTGGAGAGAGACAGAGGTTGGCAGCTGAGAGAGAAAGAAGAAAGAGAGGCAAAGGAGCGACAGCTGAAAGAAGAAAGAGAGCAGCAATTGAAGTTGACGCTGGAGAGAGAAAAGCTGGCCGCTGAGAGGGCGAGAGACAAAAGAGAGGCAAAGGAGCGACAGCTGAAAGAAGAAAGAGAGGAAAGGGAACGGCAGCGGCAGCACGAGATGGAACTCGAGCGGCTTCAATTGCAACAACGAAGTGAAACTCCCGTCTAAGCTAGAGTTGAAAGTAGCGAACGGGAGGACCACGGCTTCCGCTTGAACCCAAGCAAGCTGCTCGTAGCGTTTGATGAAAGGAAGGACGACCTTGACGCGTACCTTCACCGATTTGAGACGATTGCGAGGAGCCAGAATTGGCCGGAACATCAATGGGCAACTGCTTTGAGTACTTGCTTGAGTGGTGAAGCGCTCAGTGTGTACGGTAGGCTGACGCCGACCGATGCAGCCAACCATGTAAAGGTGAAAGCTGCTTTGCTGAAGCGATTTAGATTTACTGTGGAAGGATTCCGGGACAGATTTTGGACTGAAAAGCTAGCTGATGGTGAGACGGCTACACAGTACGCCGCCCTACTTAGCCATTATTTCGACAGATGGATTGAACTTTCAGGGACAGCGCAGGAGTACGATGAGCTTAGAGAGCTCCTTATTAGAGAGCAATTTCTTACTAGTTGCCACCCAAGCCTGTCCCTGTACTTGAAAGAGAGAAAGGCTGAGTCGCTTGAAGACATGCTTGAATTGGCTGATCAATTCTTGGAACCGCAAGGTGAAACTAATTTGGCCAAAGTCAAGAAGGAGTGTCCCGAAGATTCGAAAAATTCGGCACCCGAACAAAAGAAGCGTGCACCGGAGAGTGTTCCGCGATAATTTCTGTGTAACCGAGTGGGTCATCGCACGAACAACTGTCGAACGATCTTTACGAGCCCTACGGTATTAAAATGTTTCAAGTGTGGTCAGACTGGGCACAAAGCAGACGCATGTCATAACGGAGCGAGTCGAACTCACCAGGTATCCTGTGTGCTAGCAGCACCGAAATGCGATGATAATGCCGTCACCGACGGATTCGTAGAGTTGAAAACTGGAGAGAAACTTCCTATTGTGGGTGCTGTAATGACGAAACAGCCAACCGGTGTTACGAAGGAAATGCCAACGCTGCCTGGAAAAGTTGCGGGCAAACAGGTTATGGTGTTAAGAGATACCGGTAGCTCCACTGTTATCGTGCGACGAAATTTGGTGCGGGAAAGTGAGTTAACAGGCAAAACGAAACCGATTTGCCTAATGGACACTACGGTTCGGATGCTTTCTGAAGCAGAAATTGAGGTTGAAACCTCGTACTTCAGCGGGAATGTTACTGCTCTATGCATGACGACCCCCCTGTACGACCTCGTCATCGGAAACATCGACGGGGCGTGAGGGCCGAATGATCCAGAATGTTTGGGGGAAGACCCGAAGATGGAGCCGCCGCCGACATAGGGACCGCGAGATACAGGAGAGAAAAATCCCGTGAAGGAT